ATAAAGAAAATGTGCAAATTTGCCGTCACTTTTTCAAAAAATATTTAGTTTGGCCCCGACTTCGTCCCAGAGTTTCATTTTGGCCCAGTGTGAATTTGAGTTTCACACCCCTGCTGTAGATTGATCTTTCCTCAACACTTTTACGATCAGCCCATTAATTAAATGATACCAATATTAAGTAGCATGACTGAAATAATTTACCAAAAAGAAAATATTCAAAATAGTAAAATCCCATTTTTGTGGCTCGCAAGGTTTTCTAACTTGATGATTTTGGCCCTTGTCTTGGAAAAAAAACAAGCACCCTTGCTTAAAAGGAAAGATTGCTGATTCATTTTAATCTAAATCTAGATCTGAACGGTGTTAGCCTCAAATGTCAGTATTGGATTAGAACGTTTTACAGCACGGAAGGTGTGAAAGGTCTTGTCACGGTGGCAACGCTTGAGAAAAACTCCTGGGTGTAAATGGGAAAAAATCCACCAAACGCTTTAGATCTATTTATTGTTTCATCATTTCTTCTAAGAAAGAAAAAAGACATATTTTGGTAAAAATAAGAAAAAACAAATGTTTGAGATAAAAATAAATACAAAACACAAATTTTGTAAAAGAACATGAATTACTGTACAGGACTAATTTTGGAAACACCTCTTAAACCGGGCGGACACTGTGCAACTTTTTACTCGTGGTATTCAGCTCCGTCTCAAATTGTACGACTTCCTCATGAGTCATGTGCTCACACTGTACGACCCATTTTTCGGATGCGACCTTGCTGCTCACACCGTATGGTAGCAACACGTTGGACCTAAAGATATGCTAAAATTAGCAGTTTTTGCACATTGGACTTTTTATTGTGTTGTCATTAGGGACGAGCGAGTACACCTGTATCTGTATCTGTATCTGTTCAACCATCTAAATTATCTGTAGCTGTACTCGGAGTGGGCGTGGCCTAACCTGGAAGTGGGTGTAGTTTAACCTGAAGTGGGTGTGGTTTACATCAATACGTTATTTTAAGTCTGATCAGAAGTTGCTATGTGTGTTGTTTATTTGAAAACTATTTACAGAGCAGCCTCAGAGTTGAGATTAAATGCTTTTGATCACAATAGTAAAGGAACTATTACAGAACAAGTTTTTCAATAGAACATTAATATTTAAGTGCATGAATTAAGAGAGAGAGAAGAAAAGATCTTTTCTATAGCGCCGCTCAAGATAAAAATCACGAGGCGCTTCACAAAAACTAAACATGTAAAATAGAAAAAATAATTTAGAAAATGATTAAAATATATTTAAAATGAGCAAAAAATAGACAATTGTGATTCAAAAATGTAAATAAAGAAAGAGAGAGAGTGAATAGGAAAGAGGGAGGGAGAGAGGAAAAAAAACCTGACCGGAGCGGAGGCAGTGACTGACGCAGCACGAGCCATTTTCAGCTCTGTCTTGTCAAATGCACCACGTACGTTACGAAAAAAGTAACTTCAAATAACTTTAAAGTAACTTTAAAAAGAAGCAAACTGAAGAAAACATAGGGAGTACTGAAGAAACATGAACAGTGAAGCAAGCACAGAGAGGTCCGTTACTGTCTGTGTGTGTGCGTGGATGGACCGGATGCAGACTGAGCTGTGAGCTCCCGGCTGCAGAGTTTTGTGTGTAGGGAGGGGCGGCACTCTATTTGACTGGCCAATCACAGAGAGTGAAGACAGTCCGATACCCAATGAGGATTTTCCTTCAGCACGATTACAGATATTTACGAGTTTTACACGTTTCATGCTGGTACTCGTCAAAAATGCTTTTTCTATACCGTATACTCGTCTGAAACGAGTATCCGGCTCATCCCTAGTTGTCATTGACGTCTGTTGTCCCTCGGGACACAGGGGTTGGAGGAGGAAGGCAAGAGAAAGGAGGTATGTCAATGTTTTGTGATAGTGTAATTTGACAAACATGTTTTCTTGACAATCCTCGTCATTGTGTGCGAAGAAAACGTAATCAATAAAAACACAAGTTTTGTGTTAATGGGGAAATAGCTGGTGAGCCATGGTGGTTTTGGGTTGCAGAGCTACTGCTTCAACAGTGCAAGACCCTCCTGACTTGAGGAACGAGCAAAATATCAAAGACGCTTGAAATTTGTGCAGGTGCACGGTTGCTGATTGGGAGCTGGTTGTGAGTTGTTAATCACCCCTCGTTACCCCTGTATACTACACGAGGCACAATGAAAACTCATTCTGATCTCAATTATTCTCTCGCACGAGGGGAAAATCGACTCAAAAAAGTCAAAAAGCCGCACAGTGTCCACCCGGCTTTAGGATAGTTTAAAGCGTATTTTAAAGACATAAAAATGGTGGGGGCAGCTGAGGGGGAGGCTGTACAGCGGGGGGGCTGTTGCCCACCTGTATCTCCACCCCTGTTTACATCTTAAAAATGTGAACTCTTTCTAACAATCTTTCTACTTTGGGTATTTTTCAGTTTCTTCTGCTTCTTTGGTAAAGAATGTTTGGAAAATGAAGATAAAATAAAGACAAAAGCCATTTTTGTTCTAAATCCCCAAACTTTATTTCAACTGATTTCGCCTGACGTACATAATAAAAATATTTCAGGGGAAATTCATTAACACTTGGTCGTCTTTTTTTTTTTTTTTTTTTTTTTGCCAATTTGCTCTTTCTGTTTATACAGAAACAAAAATCCAGCTCATGTCGAGTTAGTGGTGAGTAGATGGGAATTTAGTCAGTGTATTTCTAGCCAGTTTGGTTCAAAAATCACCTGAAAATGTGTTACTGAGATTATATAAAAAGCCTTTAAAACCAGTTCATTTAGAGGAGAACAATGGGATTTAAACCAGGTCAAAATGTCCATAAATGACTTCACACGAGCAACGGGTTTGCTTGTTAAAGCCTTAATGAAAAGGCCAATATTTCCTGCGGCAGGGCTGTTAAAGAGAGCCGATGCTATATAATTGTGACTGTAGCCCTGTGTTTGCATGCATTTCCCTCTTTAACCTGGGGTTTGAACCAACAACCCTCCATCCAGCTCACCATGCCAGACAAACTCTAACCCATTCATTTGAGCTGCTGTCGGCAGTGGCTCTGTTCCACACCGGATTTGGAAACTAAACATCTGAATCTGAAGCCGTTTACATGTGGAGCCGCATTTATGAGCCACTCGTGGAACACTCCTTTTTTTTTTTTTTCCTCGTTTTGAATCTCGTGTTCTGTGGCTGCTCGTTTATTTTCCTGTTGTAAATGGGTTTTTGTCAGGCCAGTGATGAATATTTTCTGTTTGTGCAGAACGCTGATAATCGCGTGTGTTATAGCGTGTTTGCATGATTCACATAGATTAGCATCAGATTTTTGGATCGTCCCGACCTGAAACCTGTAATTGGGTTTAGCTTTTGGCGTGTTGTCCACATCAGATACGGAGAGTTGGACATTACGCACCGTCAGAAACCTGGCAGGCACAAAGTGGCACTCTGTGTTGGTGGTAAACCTCTCGCTAATCCGGCAGTTTGGAGCTCATGCTGCTGTAATTGTAGCGTCCTTCACGAAAGAAAGATGAAGAATGAGCATCCATTCTCTCTTCTTTCCTCCTTTATTGAGGCTGCTGTCCTTCTGTGTGTCTCCTGAGCTGCTTTGGACTGACCACACTGACACACTCGGCCCATTCAACGGGTCAAACTGGATCCTTTTATGTAATTGCTGCATCGGTGTGTTCTGCCAGCTGTTTGTTTTGGAGAGTCTGCAACAGATAGGTAATCGCATCATGTCTCACACTCCCAGACTTCCTCGGTGCCAAAAACAAGAAGCCTGGCCCACGCTGGACTTCATGGGAGAAGAATCCTGCAGCTTAGAAATGAACTGAACTGAATTATTAGCCATAAAGACATGATATAAAGTCTATAAGTGAATGTTTGTGGGATCTTTGGGGAGTGCAATGACCGGTTTTGTGCTGCGGTGTTGGGAAATCGGCCTGATTAGAGGGCACTACCACACTAACTCCCCTCCCATCGTGCTTTCAAACAGAGCTTTCAGAGTTTTGTCTCTAACATCAGTCTGGAGCCAATAGCTGCCCCAACACAGCCAGACTCTTATTTTCCCTAACAGTATTACTCTTCTTTAACCAGGGGCATGACTAGAGCCTCTCAAACCAAAATACATTTTGGGCCTTCAGCAGAGACGGGCCTTCAGACCATTTTCTATTTCAGGCAGAAGCAATCGGGACTTTTCTAAAAGAAAATCATCTGTTGTCAAATTGTCACATGAGGCTTAAAATAGCTATTACTGCAAAGTGCATCAAACCTGCTTTTTATTAAGATGAATGGTGCACTTTGGCTGATTTATAATAACACATCTGTATTATTAAGGCAAGGCCAGATGATATGGAGAAGGTAGAGGCAGGATTTATTCTTAAATCATCAAGCTGGAGGAAAATGTGCTATGATGTAGCTTAAAGTGTCCCACTAAGTGAGAGTGTGACAAACAGTCATGATTTTGTTAGTAACTCCTCTTCTGCTCTGGTGCCGCTTCGCCACAGAGGCGAGGTGAGAAGCCCCTCGGCGACTGGTTCAAATGTTGGCTGAGGCTTTTCTGTGTGGTGTTTAGGTGTTTACCCTGGTCATGTTTCTCTTGGCAAAAGCAATCAGGATGCTCAAATTGGAAAGGCTGTATAAGAAAAAATGTAAAAGGCTGTCTGTCTTGTGTGTCTCTGTGTTGGACTGGCAACTAGAACAAAGTCACCAGTCCACCTCCACCTGTTGACTTCTGGGACACGAGCCAGCCCTCAAGACCCCGAACCGGATGTAGAGGGTAACAAATGTAGTAAGACTTATAAACTTGGCTTTCCTTAAAGCAATCCATGTCGCCCACCACCTTTCATCGTTGCGTTTTAAAGGTCTCATTCACTTTTTTCCCCCTCAATAAATTAGCTGTGGTCTCTAGTATGAATGAATGCCTTTTGAGTGTTTCAGGAAGGAGTGTGTTTGTCTGAGTGTGTGTTGGGGGGGGGGGGGGGGGGGGGGGGGATGAGGATTAAAGTTGCAATGGTAAATCTCAAAAACACGCCAGATTTTAAACAAACACATACAGGCAACACTCCTCATCCCTAAACCACGTCCACCTGACACTGGAACGGACCCTGACAGTGTTGGTGGTAGCAGCCGTCTGTTTCTCCTTCCCTGATATAACTGAGCGGAGAACTTCTCACACCAGCGGTGTTCTGGTGCTAAATACATGAGTGTGTAACGGATGGAGGACCCACAGAAGTGTGGCGGTTCGATGAGACGGACAACCGAATGGTCCAGTCGTTGGTCTCTGATCAAGCCGTGTTATTGACAGAGGATTTTAGACTGATGTGAGTAAACCACGTCCTTTTTTAATTTTTTTAAATCACCACAATATATTTATTACTATATTAGAACATTTAAATCAGGGTTTCTCAACCCTGGTCCTCAGCGCCCACCTGTCCTTCATGTTTTCCACGTTGCCCTTGCAAACCCTAGTGCTTCTCTACTGCCACACACCTGACTTAACCCTTTGATGCATAATGGTCACTACAGTGGCCAGGTACTCAAAACAGTTATTTATTTATTTTTTTGCTATTAAGCACAGCTGTTGAAGACTTAATTGCATTTGAGCCCCTCCATTTGGACTTCAGTAGGTCAAGCCAACATATTTCATGTTCAGAATGCACGCTGTCCACTGAGGTGGACATGTAATAAATTATTTGTAAATGATTAAATGTTACATAAAATATTCGTTGAAATTTGTTTCATTCACACCTAAGATGAATGAAAAAATTGTTAAAAAAATCATGGTTGAAGATTTCATAATTCATGCATCAAAGGGTTAAATTAATGACTGATTAACAGCCTTCTGCAGCACTTGATGTCCTCCTGAGGATGCTATTCAAATATTTAAATCAGGTGTGTTTGAAGAAGAGAGATTGAAAAAATGAAGGACGGGTGGGGGGTAAGGACCAGCGTTGAGAAATCCTGGTTTACAGGCCTCAAAAAATGGTTCAAGCTAGCTTGTTTTGCAGATTAGCCATTGTAGCTTTAAGAGTTGTTCTCATTAATATTCATAAGTAAACGTCTCACCTCTCATTCGCTAACAGCAACACTACTCTTCTGCTGCCGATCGTTTCCCAATCTACTTTCTTTCTGCAGCTAATGCAGGTGATGGGGACCAAACCAGAACCTGCTACAACCTATATTACCTGTTATTGTTAAATGGTAAATGGCCTGTTTCTGTTTAGCACCCTCTTAGGGTTCTACAACCCCCAAGGCGCTTCACAAATCAATCAGCCATTCACCCATTCACACACATTCACCTGCTGGTGGGGATGAGCTACGATGTAGCCACAGCTGCCTTGGGGCGCACTGACAGAGGCAAGGCTGCCGAGCACTGGCGCCACCGGTCCCTCCGAAAACCACCAGCAGGCAAGGGGGGTTTAGTATATTACCCAAGGACACAACAGCAGAATTCTCTGGTCAGAGCCGGGATCGAACCTGCAACCTTCCGATTACTGGACAACCCCGCTCTACCTCCTGAGCTACTGCTGTCCCTGCAATTGTCATGAGCCGGGGTGAGTGCTCCTCTCATTTCTCACCATCTTTGAGTGTTTGGTTTCAGGAGAGGGAGCGACAGCTGTTCCTCATTCAGCTAATCAGCAGGCCTGCTTATGAGGAGGATGGTGGACGTGACTCGACGCCAGAAGATTACTACTGACTGGTAGTCCCTAGCCCTCGATTTAACTCGTCTCAAGTTCTTGAACTCTTGTGCATTGTGTAACCTCGATTAACTTTGGGTTTGTTTTGGATCACTCACCTCAGGTTGGCTTCACCTCAGGACTTCACCCAACTCTGTATGGATCACTCCCCGGCTCGCTTCCTTGTTCACCATCCACCCGCTTGACCGACCCGCTCTCCACCGCGCCTCGCTCCCTCTCCAACCCCACACCGGCTCGGATACATTCCCTCTCACCATCTCAACCACTCTCTGTTCATCACCTGGATTATTACCCCGGCTCACCCCTCCCTAGCGCTCTTCCCGAACCGTAAGTCCCTCCGTCAGTTTCCCTCTATTGGACTACAACTCCCAGTACTCACCTCTGCTACTCTCCCCTCTAGACGCTGCTTCCCGTTTCCTCACCCGCTGGACTTCCAGTGCGCCTTTAGTTCCTCGTTTTAATAAAATACTTATTTTTTTCCTTCAATTTGAGTCCGTCTCCTGATTCTGCATGTCTTGGGTTAGACATTTGCCCCAGAACATGACAGCAATTGCTGTTCCTGCAAAAGCGGGAAAGTGGAGAACAGAGATAATTTCCCACTGATCTTCAAAAGCTAATGGGCTAAATTATTTTACATTCACTTTGGAGTTCATGCAAGCCACCAACCCCCAGTTCTTTTTACGTTTCACAAATATGGACACAGATCGTTTCCAGACCATTCTTAATAGCTTGCCAAAAGAATACTTTACAATCCTCTCTTTTTTTTTGTGGTAAGCGTCAGTAAAACGGTGCCATGCCTGCGAGGACTGACAAGTGTTAACATGCTCGATAGTTGTCATCACTCATTGCCTGAAGGAGTTTGCATGGAAGTGGTAATCAAACCAGTAAATTAGAAAACGTCTAGCTCCTGCTTTGTGAAGTGACCAGGGTTTAACGTTTAGCCCAGAGGCCATGAAGCAGGATTTACGGGTTCCTGGTGGAAGTTGTGTTGTTTTAGTTTGGCATTACGAGATGACTGAACCTACCACTCTGGGTGTAATTACAAAGCCAGATTACTCTGTTTTTTAAGAGCTTAATCCTGTTTAGACTAATGCATTCATGGGTTGCAGCAGATTTGAAGAGGAAGGCACAATACAAACCTTTTATTATCAAGTGGTGCTCATAATCACACTGCTGCCATCGCTGGTTGCATTAGCAATAAACTTGCTGCAGGTTAGACAAGTTTTAGTCTTAGCTAAGCCATTAAAGTGTGCCTTTAGCTTTATAAAACAGTTCAAAAAATCTGATTACAAAAAAATGTTAATTTTAAAACTCAAACAAGTTATGCTCATCTAGTTTTGTTGCATAATAATGAACTTCCACAACCAAAAATCAATATTTCATTCAAATGATTAATTGCAAAAATTCAGTAACAAACTAGCTAAAAAAAGAGGCAAACAGTGCAGCAAAGCTCAAACACATGTAAGCCTATGTTCCTGCACTCTCGATCGCCAGGTCCTCATGAAAGCAGGGGTTACTGGGATCTAGGTGTATACAGCTTTTTACTGGGAGCGGGTGCTTTCAATATGGAGGATAATGTTTGTTATAAACCAGTGCCCCTCCTGGGATATCTGCTTTCTCCTTTACTCAGGAATGTACAGAAACAGAGAGCTTCTAAAGACTTCAGGGCAGAGGATCTAACACAGAGGAGCGGGGTAGAGGTTCACACACATTCACATGCATGCACAACAAGCAACGAGCGTGTCTGAGTTCTGTCTCAAAGCTTTAAACACTACCACATGCCAGGACTCCAGCGGCAAGAGAGGCACACGTGTTTTTGTGTGAGTGTGTGTGTGCATGCATGCTAGTGAAGCTATGACAGTTGCACAGTGTGCATCTGAGAGTGAGAAAAAAGTGGAATTGGATCAAGAGTTGACTGTTTTATTAAGCATTCTTGATGGTTCGGGCCGATTATAAAAGCGTTTAGGTCGTATTTGGCAGAAAAGTCTGCTCTCCTGCTCGAAGTCAATAAAGGAACCCGGCCAAGAAGTAGAAGTGCTGTGCAGCTCAGTCACTCACACACTCAATACGATGCCTATTATTACAAACGCACAATAGTTCTGTGGGAGGAATTATGTAAGAAGAATGCCTGGCCAGTCTTAAAATGTGTTTTCCAGAAACTGTCATCGCCCATCACTTCCTGGTAAGCATTAGTTTATTCTGTGGTCCCTGTGTGTGTGTGTGTGTGTGTGTGTGTGTGTGTGTGTGTGTGTGTGTGTGTGTGTGTGTGTGTGTGTGTGTGTGTGTGTGTGTGTGTGTGTGTGTGTGTGTGTGTGTGTGTGTGTGTGTGCGCGCGCGCGCACTATTCAGTTAATTTCCTCGACTGTTATGGATGTCAGACCAGCCCTGCACATTTCCAAGAGAAACCCTTCATTCAGTAAAACAATTCCAGATCACGCTAAGAAACCACAACAAGATGGGAAAATCGCATCCAGAACATCTTGCTGGGAATCTTTGCCCAGTGGATTCGTAGCGATCTAGAGAATGGACTTTTCATACGTTAGAGGACATGTGTTTCAGGATTTAGGAAGGAACAGCTGCCTTCCACAGCTGACCTTCTCATTTAAAAACACGTGTGAATGACACGGGTCACAGCCCGCATCAGAGTGAAGGATACACTTTTAAATCAACTAAATAACATAACTGTCTGACCTTTTAAAACCTGATGCATACAAACGTGATGAATATAATCACTTGTGTGAGGTTAATACCCGTTATTGCCTCCAAACACCACTTGCAAGGCTCAAGGACACGATGTAGCGGCTCCAAAGCTCACCCATAAAACACGGTCATTACGGTGAAATGTTGTAAATGGCCTGTATTTGATATAGCCCCTTCTAGAGTCCTGGAACCCCCCAAGGCGCTTCACAACACAATCAGCCACACACACATTCACACCCTGGTGGTGATGAGCTATGATGTAGCTACAGCTGCCCCGGGGCGCACTGACAGAGGCAAGGCTGCCGAGTAAAGGCGCCACTGGTCCCTCCGACCACCACCAGCAGGCAAGGTGTGTTAAGTGTCTTGCCCAAAAGCACAATGACAGCGGCAGACTGAGCGGGGCTCGAACCTGCAACCTTCCGATTACGGGGCGAGCACATAACTCCTGTGCCACTGTCGCTCGGTGGCCTATGGTAGAGTGTCCGCCCTTGGAATGGGAGATCAGGGTTTAAATCCTGCCCCCCCGCTTCACACTCATCTTTAAGGGGTTGGATTGGGGCGCTATATAAATACATTTGAATTGAATTGAATTGAATTAAACCACCAAATAGTTCCCAAGCACAGCCAAAGCTACAGCACACTGCTTCTCATGAGCACGGATCAGGTGGAGAGATTAATTTTACCAGTGTGTGATGACTAATGGGACTTTAACTTTAATACCAAACCCATTATAAACGGTGACTTTGGGGGCCACAACATCAGGTTTTTGCCTCCTTTCCACCGGACGTGAAAGCGGCATGTAACAAAAAAAAGCGGTTTACCTGCAAGCTTCCGTCCAACTGGAAACGATTCTGAGCGAAAGCATTCCACGCAGCTGATCTCACGAGGTCACAAAATCATGGGAGGTTTGAAACACCACGTGTGATTTCAGCACTCCACACAATAACAAGTAAGGAGAAAGACATCAGCAAGTATATAAACTATTCTGTGGTTTCATTTACGTTCTGTTTACTTCGGCAACGGGAGTTTCACAGAAAATGACGTGACTTTTATTTTGAAATTTTCCAAATGTTTTACACTGATTTCGAGTTTGTCTTCTTGTCTGGCCTGACCTGAACTGCTGAGTTTGACGTGTTTTCGAAACTTTGCTTCTGCGACTCGTCCAGAATTAAGGGGAAAAAAAACATCCACTATAATGGCAGCTAATTGGTGCAAAGTACGTTTTGCAGCTGTTTCGCTGCGCTTTCACGTCCGGTGAAAACAATTCTGAGATCAGACATACATACATAGAGACATGACAAGAATTGGTGACTGTGGTCATTCGCAACCCGAGTCGCGCTACCGTTATAGATCAAGAGGGTTTATATGAGGACCGAGTCGGGGGAGGGAAAAATAGGCACTTCAGAGTTACCTTCCACAGAGAGGATAGCTTTGCTATGCAAAAAACACCTCAGACAGAAATGCACACAGACTTCAGACATTACACAACATAAGTGTCCACTAGGTGGGGAGGTAGGGTTGGGACACTCCTCACTTCAGTGCATGCAGCCGCATGGAGCAGCGCTTATCACCTCCGTTTGGACAGGGGAGGGAGATAATGGGTTAGAGGGCACATTGACTCCTAGATACGGTTCCACGGCCTCCACCGGTCACAGTCTCGCCCAGGCTGGGATAGGGAGAAAGAGTTTCCATAGCGACGGCAGCATTCCACATTTCTTCTGAGGGGGGAGTTATAACTTCAGCCTCACAGGCTCCAAGGGCACCTGATTCGGATTAAAATTGTTGTGGGGACAGACAGAGATAGTTTCCTCTCTGTCTTAGAGTTCTGTTGGTCTACAACCCCTCTAGATCCAATAATGGCGTAATTATTATATCCCAATCCGTGCTGATCCATCAACTCTGTCCTTGATGGAATCCAGAGCCTGAATGTCAGCCAAAGTTCCAAGCTTATGACTCATTTCGACAATTATATGAGTTTGTGCGTTAAAAGCACTGTGTAATCCATCCCTGATCTCCGGGATTGAGCCAATATTCCTTGAAAGCTCGTTAATGTTCCGGTAAGCCAGGTAACCGCTCAGGTCAAACAGCAGGAATCCCGACACCAAATCGACGAATATCCAAACATCTTCAGAATCCTCTACTGACAGTTGAGAGAGGCAGATCAGGTTCCACTGTTTCCAGGAATCCATGATATACCCAGCTGACTCTGTCCCAGAGGGTCATCCGGGAGCCCCTTCTCCCATCCTCATCATTGAAAAAATGTGTCAAACAGCTGCAGGGGCTGATGCCAACTCCGGGTCGGTAGAGAGGTCCTACCTCAAGTGGAGGAGTTTAAGTATCTCGAAGTCTTGTTCACGAGTGAGGGTAGGAGGGATCAGGAGATCGACAGGCGGATTGGTTCGGCGTCTGCAGTGATGCGGACGCTGAGCCGATCTGTCGTGGTGAAGAGGGAGCTGAGCCAGAAAGCCAGGCTCTCGATTTACCGGTCGATCTACGTCCCAATCCTCACCTATGGTCATGAGCTTTGGGTAATGACCGAAAGAACGAGATCGCGGATACAAGCGGCCGAAATGAGTTTCCTCCGTAGGGTGGCCGGGCTCAGCCTTAGAGATAGGGTGAGGAGCTCGGACATTCAGGAGGGACTCGGAGTAGAACCGCTGCTCCTCCGGATCGAAAGGAGTCAGCTGAGGTGGTTTGGGAATCTGGTCAGGATGCCTCCTGGACGCCTCCCTGGGGAGGTGTTTCGGGCATGTGCTGCTGGCAGGAGGCCCCTGGGTCGACCCAGGACACGTTGGAGAGGTTACATCTCCAAACTGGTCTGGGAACACCTTGGGGTCCTGCCGGAGGAGCTGGTGGAGGTGGTCGGGGAGATGACGGTCTGGAGATCCCTAGTTGGGATGCTGCCCCCGCGACCCGGACCCGAATAAGCGGAGGAAGACAACGACAACAATGATGACGACGACGTTGAGAGACCAACTGACCAGATCCATTTTTAATAATTTCCAGTTTCCAGAAAAAATGCAGAAAGCGCCGTGCACACAAAGACAGGGCAAAGAGCCTTGGGATGAGGAGGGAGCGAGAGGAGAAAAAAGCGTCTGTACTCTCCAAGAGCTGGAAGAAGAAATCTGCTTCTGTTGTCTCTTGGTGTTACTTATCAGTTTAATTTGCAGACGATATGATTATTACAGTTAGGATCGTTATTGAGTCATTTTCATGACTTCTCACTGAATATACTGTTGTTATCATTCACTTACATTACTTATGCTAAGCTAAAGCTAACAGAATACTGCAAGATTAGAAGAAAGACTGAGCTGGGCAAAAATGCTTGTTCCCATATGTCTAACACTGGAGGACATGGAAACAGACCAGATTTCACCTAGGGGTGAAATATCCCTTTAGGTTTTGGTTCAAAGTGACCTCTGTTACTGTGCAAGTGTGTGGTTTTATGGCCAAAGTAATAAATAAATAAATAAATAAAATCATCTGCTTTACAGATTTGATTTTTTGATTTATTACCTCAAATAAATCCTGAGGACCTGCTGGCTGGATCAGAGGCATCTTGGCAGCAGAGGAGATTTTACTCGAAGGCAAAGACCTCAGGAGATTGCAGCTTTGGTGCGAGGTGTGCATGAAGGGACAGGAGCACACTGAATCGTGATAAAACTGCCCCACATTACTGTTTGTGATTTCACGCTGCACTCGCTCACACTCTTTATTCTCATGAGACACGTGTGCGCTGAAGGTTTTCCAAAGTGTGAGCCACAACAGAAAATAAAAGGTGGTTCATTGACTTTACTTTGTGTGCTCAGACTTCGAGTCAACAAGCAGATTATCAGCAATGTTTCGTTCAAGGTTGCAATTTCATAATCAAACCAAAGATGCTCAATCCTTGTAAAACAGTCAGCATTTTGTGTTTTGTGCAAATATGAAACAATAAACGTTTACAGCCTTGTAACCAGATAAAAAAACATATATGGAGTTTCAGTTTCTCTAGCAGCTCTGGCGTTTCATTCATCTATAAAAATAACTAAAGCAGTCGAATAAGAATGGCCTTTCTGGTTAGCTGATGACGGGCTAAAAGCTGGAATTGGTGTTCCTTGGAGAAGAGCTGAGAGTTGTGCTGCGGCTGTCATCTGAAAGGAATTACAGATCCAGCTGGGTGTTATTTGCATAGCAGTGTGAGAAGAGACCATGGGAGCAGACGATCAGACCGAAGGATGTCGTTTCAGGAAAGAGAAGAGCGTTGAAAGATCACCCAGTGTGGTACCAATTCAGACAGAGACTCCGTTTCCATTATTCCTTTAGTGGCTGAAGACAGTATAGGACACCATCACTTTACATGGTCCGAGTTTGCCTGGAGAACTCTGGACCAGCTGCAGAGGCTGATGCCAAAATAAAGAAACGTCCAATAGTCCAACCCCGAAGCCATCATCATCTTCAGGTTGTAGCTGGAAACAG